GTATCAACAATTCACGTGCTGTGGCCAAACCAATAATCCCGCCACCAACAATAACCACATCACAATTTTCCCGTGGCACGGCACTACCATATTTGTATTTAGACAGTAGTCGTCCCAACATCGTGCACGATAGTGAAAGATGAAGATAATAACAATTGTGTTACGTTCATTCGAATATAACGGTAAAGATAAGCCCCAGGCATTGATAGGTGGACATAGTCAACGGCAAACACACAACAATAGAGTAGACACACCAAAATATCTCTACATCGATGCAGACGGCAAACGGAAGTAATGAGCGTCGATGACAAGGGAACAACGATGAAGACCCATATTGGTTGGCCATCCTATTTTCGACGCACGCGTTGGGCGGAACGTGTAGACAGTGGACATGTTTTGTGGAATCCAATGGAAAACAAAATAGCCGGTGGTTGTTCCACCGAATTCCGTCAAGCATAAACTAATTTGCTTGTGATTTGATACACAAAGGTAGATACCCGGTTTGGAAAGAGAAACCATTCGGATAAGATTGCCACACCCATGGGGGACAAAGTGGCAGTCCCAACCTCTTATTTAATGCGATGTCCGCCTCTGTCTTCGAATTCAGAACTCAATTTGCCTGTTTGTTTCCAACCCCGGCCTGAATATTTTACTCCTCCTCACTCGTGTGTAGTGAATTGGTTTCCTTTTTGCATCAATAAACTATTCGTCACATCAAAGTATGTGGAATAGATTCAAGCGAAAAGTACCTTGGAAATTCAGGTAGAGTCAATAATATCGTGTAAATGGAAAATAAAAAAGGCCTGATCAGCTGCTTGGTGGCCGATTGGGTAGCCTGCTTGTGTCCTGCCCATGAGGTCCCGGGTTCGATCCCTGGTTGGATCGATGGATTCGCACTGCTGATCAGACCCAACAGGTCGAAACAGCTGTCTAGTGCTGCTTAGCTTTTCAATTCACTCTTCACGACGAATTCACCTTTGAAGTTAGAAAAGACTTGCAGATAGCCCACACTCTTCAAGACATAATGAATCAAGAAGCACTGAGTGCAACTGACCCCATATAAACATTCAATATCGGTGAATGCTGGACGGTCAGCGCCCCAAGTTAATGCCACTTTCACATACCAGCCTCTAAGATTGAAAGTTCAAACAAAATCTACCTGCATTTGTTGTCCACAAATCTCAACAAAAATGCAAAACACTACTCCGATTAGTAAAACAGAAACCGTTAACCGCTTAGAGACGACTATTTCTGGTTATGTCGATAGGGACAAACGTACAATTGGAAGCGAACCCGAGGGAAAATATTTAGTTGCGGTTTGAAGGAGGACTGTAATGATTGTAAAGGTAGTAATAGTGAAGTTACGCACAGAATCCAGGACACGAACTACGCAATAGGAATCACGGAACACGAATTAGAGAACCGATGGCACTGGACCGCAATGGCTCGAACTCGCAATGACCCGCAGGATCGAGACGCGAGGAAAAAGGCCANGTTTATTGAAGGAAATGAAAGTGAATATATATGTACACAAGAAAAGATCATTAGTTTCCACCAATAATATTGCATCACGTCTTGCGTCATATTGCTCTTCTCTGCATTGTATCTGATTGGCTGGAACAGTTCACCAATGACGTGTATCCGGAGGCTGTGCACGTGCTACTGGTGTCAGCGCTCAAGGTCGATTGACTACCAATGTCCGGGAACTGTACCGCGCTGCTCCAGGGCAGGCGTGATCTCGTAGATCCAAATCACCACAAGGACACAAAATTCTATTAACCCCACCGTATTTTCCCGAAATCTCTCGACAACCGAGCCGCCTAGATTATTAACACTTGGCACAATAATGGTACAACTCGTTACAGCATAAAGAAACCCAAAAAATCGATTCTCAGTTAACTAAACCGGTTATCCTACAAAACCTTTCCCCGGGGTTACGAAGCGCTATCAAACCCACTCCGGGAAAATGATGAAAATACATAAGTGGCTATAAAACACACCGTTCCTTATTATTCACGATTGAAACACAACGTTCAGGCATACGCCTAATCATGTTTCTGATTGTTTGAAATTGGATATAGCTCCACGCATGAGAGACATTTATCTGTAATTCATGGACAGTGCAGAATACCGTCCCAGACACATGAACCCACCCTCACACATTTTCAATATGCTTCAGATATGGGATTTTGGATGGCCAGTCCATGGTTTTGAAATTCCTGCGCAGCAAACCCATTCTAGTGGGATGAGCTTCATTATTGTATCGGAAAACCGTGGTTTCCAATCGATTTTCTGAAACTGCGGGGAGAAGAAGTCAGTTTAAGGTTTTGGTGAAAGATTCAGTTAACTGATTTCCCCTCGAGGACCGCAAAATGAGACTTTCCATTTTAGAGCCACTCAAGTAAGCACAATGACTAAAAGCTTTTTACCTCTTAGGCAAATCATTCGGTGTACATGAGTCCAGTAGGATCGTCGAAGTTAATTTTTCTCTCGTCGATGAATACCACACCGTTCAACTCAGAAGTCCAGTTGATATGGCCTAAAACTCAACTCGGTCATTACCATGGCATCCTGGTACCCGTGGTACTAACTTTATCTTCCTACATCGTAAGTTTGGTGCAGTTTCGTAACAGTTACTGTGTGTGTGCAGAATCATACCTCGAAGTGGTTATCGCTGCAATTTGGACGCACTTGTAATCTGATTTGAAGCATCACGCAAGAGTCGTCTCGTGCCTTGATCAGATAGCTTTCGTCGAATCCCACCTTTATTCTTTGATGTACATCAATGTGGGTCAATCAAAACGTTATAAACAACCCGTGGTGATCGTTGACTTGTTTACAACAGTCTTGCAAAGAATTGGTCCCCAGTTCATTCTAGGTCAGTGTTTTCCTTGTTCCAGCTCCGCTAGCCTTGAATCGCGTGCCGTTTCTCTGTTTTCACAATCGACGGGTCAATGAATTCAATCATGATGTATGCTCTTGGTGACCGTCGTTCACTTACCACGTGAGACGAGAATATTGTCGTATATGTGAGAGCACCGAACACATTCGAGGCATGATCGATTCATCCAACGATATGCAATGGCGACAGTTCTCGGAGTGGGTTTATCAGCATTTTGCACCCCTTAGAAGCATATTCTCTAGGACAACTCAGTCTATAGTAAAGTTGCAATCAAAATCCGGTTGATTTGTCCATAGAATAATGAGTTGCATCATCATCAGACCAAATTTGATCAATCTGGGTGATTTAGTTACCGAGAAATTTCGGAAGAAGCGGATGGGGTTAATATTATTTCGTGCACCGTATTAAGCGCAGTGTTGCATCCGAAACATCAGAAGTAAAGCAATGCGAGTTGTGTGAACTGTTCGAACGCGGGGCAAGGCTTGTACAGGATAGCCGTGGTGCGTGTGAACGATGGAACAATTTATGTAACTAACGCAAGATCCACAATAAAAGTGGACTGGGTAGAGGTCTGATCAATGTAATAAACTACGACGTTGCTCGGCTTTTCCCACTGTTAGTACGATAAACAATGATGTTGGGTGCAGAGGGAACAGATTGAGACTGACTGGGACTCGGATGAATGTATCCTAGGTGGATAACATGAAAAGTGATCAACGCAGAACGATACAATAATATAAACCATTTTAAGATTAATTTGAGAAACTATCACTTTTGTTTGAGAAACTGTTACTTTCAACTGAGAACTGGATCCGCTTCCGTTCAGCGCACCTCATTGGTCCACTTATTTTTGTACCCCCTTATTGATCACCTGTCTTCCCATGCTCTCCCTGTGTTGAAATGGTGCAGACTTCAGTCTTGCACATTGTCGAGTTCGCTGACGGACTTCAATTCGGTAGGTCAGTGAGGCCGTGCGATTTGTGCGAGACAGCTAAGTTAGGCCTGACTCGAAAAGCACGGAGGGTGACGCACTGTTTCGTGTGCGGTGCCGATAAAGCACAACTGGTAGTAGTTGCTCGGACATTGACGATAGTTCAAACTCATAGAACGAGTTCGTCGTATATAGAGCAAACGAAGNCAAACGAAGTGTGAACTGAAAAGCTAGGAAGCATTGTACAGCTGTTGCGACCTGGTTGGGTCTCATCAGTAGTGCGAATCCATCGACCCAACTGGGGATCAAACCCGGGTTCAACCGAGTCATAAACCCGGAGGCTAATGCTGAGATGAGCGAGGCGCCATGCTCGCAAAGAGGGGTTGTGCTTTTTCGTGTATTATGATAGTATTGTATTATAGATGACTTGGGCAGGCAACTGTAACTATATTTCAGTCAAAAATGTGTTCACCGTTACAATGAGATAAAAAACATAAAATCAAAATTCGTATACAACAA